GTTGCCTCCTGCTCGTCCTTGTCCGCCTTCCGTCCGTCCAACTGACCCAGTACTCGTACACCGGCGTGTCCGAGTCCTAGTCCGTCCGTTCGTTCGTCTGTCCGCTCGTTCCGTCCACCTCTCCGTCCGTTCGTTCGTGGGGACTCACACCTGAGTCTGAAGTCGCTAGTCCCGCCGTCGTTCTGTCCTCGAGTCGGCAGAAAAGAGAGAGAGGCCTTCATTCGTCCAGCAGGCGGGATCTCTGGCGTCCTACCCCCGTTAATCTTCTGCTCCAGCCTGTCGTGAGGATCCTGAGCCGTCGCGCAGCTGCCCTGAGGGGTCCTATGTACTTCGTCGGGGTGGTATGGTTGCCCGCTGCCGTCGTCAGCTCCTCGCCGCCCGTATAGATACTCTGGATCCCATTACAAGGGTTTACACCTGCGCAAGCGTTAAATTGAGCACTTGGAGCTACCGCAGCGTTCAACAGACCTTCGACGCCGCCCGCCGGTCGCTAGACACAGATTATATCAAGCCCAAGGCCCCTTAGCAAGAGAACGTCGTACGTACGAAGCAGAGAGGTCGCAGTTAAGGTAGTTATCACCGCAATTTTTTATTATGTTGTGGCTAACATGTTTTTTATATAATTCTTTTATTTAGATAATTAGATTAATATGCCGAGTTAAATACTATGATTTTGAACTGAGAGATTGGTCGTGTTCGCTACAACCGCAGTAGTATCATGAATAAGCTAGAAGCTTCTAGCGATCTGTATGTGGAGGGTGGATTCAGCTTCTATGAGGCAACAAACACTGAACATCCTCTTCAGGTTGATCGAGGACTTACTACCGAGCATTTGTACCAAGCCATGAAGACGAAAGATGTATCTTCTTATATACATAGGAAGGTTATGGAAACGCGAAAAAAGTTGAAGCATGCATGCCGGGCCAATACGACTGGGAAGTTAAACATTATAATGACGCATTTAGCTTCGATTTAGCTCACGGCTATCTATTCCACAAAGAGTGTTGGTTACAGGCAGGAAGTCGTGAAAGTCCAGGCCATGTCGACCATGGAAGAATTCTCTCATATATCCCGCCGTGTTTATCAAGATTTGGGTCGTGTGCAAGAGTTTTAATGCAGCTAAGCAATTCTTTTTCAAGAGTGATTTCGACGCTTTCAACAGAATGGTAGAACACGAAGATACTGTGATCGTAATACAGCGACCGGGGAATATTGTTTATGTCATCCCACCGATATACCACTCCGTCTTGTTGGGCTACACACAAGCCCCCCCCTGTTGAAGCAGTGGGGCATTATAGACGGATTTGTGTTAATACTCCGTAAGGACAAACTGGCCTCTTACTTATACGTAAATCAAGCCAACACGGGAAACCGTAAAAATTTGGATACGGCATGGACTCGTGTACTTGAAGCGTACTGTCGAATGGATGAACGTGTGTTGCACCAGCATCAACTAAAAGATGAGATTGAATCTTTCGTGAGCACCTTGATGCAAGAAAATCCAGAGTTTGCAGAGAAGAGTGCTTGAGGAGCATGTACAAGGAGAAGATCAAAGAAGCGCAATGCAAGTATCGCTCATGTGAGGTTGTTTAAGAATCTCAAGGAGAATATTTTTATGTTTTACTATGCTTCCTTAAGTCAATTCAAAATGTAAATTTTTCATATCTTCATCACAAATGGATTTGCGTCGATAAAAACCTATTTTTTTGTATAGAAGAGAACATGACAATTCAACGTGACGCCATTTAAAAAGAGAAGAAGAATTATTATCAATGGCATAATTAATCTAGTGTCACTAGAAAAGTTCACGTTGTTTGGTTTAAAAGAAATTTGTTTAGTTTATACAAAAGAAAGAGCGTCTCCTACAAAGAGTGGTCTGCTCCCACATCTGTAGTTTCTGGAAACCCTGCATAAGAAGAATCTGATATACTATTACAAATACGTCTTCCATGTTGAGCTCCACAACCTCCTTGAACACCCTGGTTGAATCGCCGTCCTCTACACCCCGTAACTGCGAGCTCCCCTACTGCCTTTTCCTCCTCGAATTCCTCAACCGACGCGAGCACTCTGGTTTCTTGAACTGCATCGCCAGTTTCAATGTTTAATGGAGTGGTGATAAGATTCGAATCAGCGTTCCTGTCACCTCGGTGCGCAAACCTTCGCATTTTTCCAACCATTGATGCTCATATTCCGCGTCTTCATCGCAGCAAGAAGGTGAACACAGTATGCATACTTGTAACAAGCTCTTTACGGACAACGTTTAGCCGTGTTATCCACTACCCATCCAGAAGTAGGCTGCTCCCCCCGCTCCATTCTACGCTTGTTCACTTTTCCTTTATCCTTTGCTTTCGCATAGTCAACAGCGCTTTTGAAACTGCGCAAAATCAAAGTATCCCGTGATGTGTCTCACTCTCCATGTAGAAAGCGTACATTGTATTGACGCTCAGAGAATTGTAAAATCGGCGAGTTGAATATCGTTTTGCACGACTAACCAACGTTTTGCTAGGTTGAGCTGAAATGGAAAATTCTGGACTGGTAATCGACTGGTGTTTACATAACAAAAGCAGCTTCTGGACAAGCTCTCCCATTTTTAGGCGAACTCTTAAGCTGTAGTCCTTCTTTATCAGTTTGTTGAAAGTTTCTGCAGGGATACTGGTTTTCGGATCTCGAGGAGAGGTATGGAAGCACTGCCAGTTGTTGTAGTGCGAGTCCAGCCATTGCTCTTTAAAATATATTGTGAAATTTTGTAAAGCACCGAATTCTTCCCACCGAGACAAAGACGATGCTTTCAATCGCTCGTATTCTTCCTCCTTACTGCGGCTGTAATGCATTTCGTAGATCGACCGGTAAGTCATATACACTGCAGGCTCCGGTAAGTTTTTCAGGCGGTCCTTCACATTTTTTTTATTACATGAAAGATACACATCGTAAAAGGGCAATCCATTGTTGTGGCAATAACTCGCGAGAAACCGTTGAACAAAGCGTCTTCAGCGTCACCCATGAAATTCTTGATTCGCATCGGGCGACCCACAACCAACATAATTGTGCTGCAATCGCCGACAAGGCTTGTGAGTATTAAACCTCTCTGCGCTGCGATACAATGAAAAATGCCACAGGATGAAATACCCGTGCTTTGTCTGACACCCCACACACGAAAAGCGGATTTTTGTGAGCTTAAAGGTAGCGTCCATGTGAAAAACAAAATTTTCAGGATCTTTATCCAAGTTCCGGAGAAATTTCTTCGTGGAAATAGCAAGCACAAATGGATCCTCATCCGTCCCGTCCTAGAACAGGATTGCCATCTACATCCAAAGAATATCCAAATGTAAATGATGTAGTGTCGCTAAGTCCGCACTGTATAGGAACTGTGTCTTCCGTCAAATTGAATATGTCTACCAGTTTATTCCGAATCTGAGCTGGTTTCATCGAGCTACAGATCATGGTTTTTATAGATGATTTCATTCCATGAGTCAGTGTGCGCTTCCGGGGCGACCCGATAAGGCTACTATGAAATCCATGTTCATAGAAGTGTATGTCCGTTGATATACACGATAGAACTTTGAGCCAATACGTACAGGAATCGCCCGATTCACTACAAGTAGAAGAATTGCAGAACCAAATGCGATAGCGCATTGTGTGCTCATCATAGTTTCAACGCAAGCAGTGCATCTCTTGAGCTGGTTTGTGTACGTCTTGAGGATGCATAACGAATCAATTGCTGAATCAGCGGCATTGCTTCCTTCAACTGTAATAGAACCGCTCCATATGTACTCAAACGGCATGTGGAGAAAGCCGCTCGATGAGAAGTCGTAGAATCGCAATCTTCACCGTGTCGAGAGTAGAGCAACTAAGGCGATGCTCTTCTCATCAAGTAAAACGCAATGTTGAGCCAAGGGCGCACAGGAAAACTTGAAATAGCTACTTTCAATCTAATTATATATATGCTACTACGTTCATATTTCCAAGCTCATAAATTTTGGTAACCTCACAACTATGTTTCACATCTAAGCTTCAAAATAATATACGTAGTTGCCTGGGTTCCCAACCAGTTAATCTATCAAAGCAATTTTACAAGTCTCCAGTGTGGATGGTAGAGGCAAAATTCAGTATGTATCGACTGACTTTGAATAGCTTACTTTCTTATAAACATTGCACTATCTACCCTGCGTCAGGGATAGGAAACCCACCCGCTCAGTTTATCCCTAAGGTCTTATAATTCAGGAATAAGCCGTTGGTTTCAGTTTTGATACGCACGATTCACAATTAAGCTGATGAGTTCATTCGTAAGTATTTTTTTGTTTCAAATCTAAGGCTCTCTCTCCTATGAAGCCCTCGGCAAAATAACAGAAAGACACAATACGTAAAAGTAACAATTTATTTAACATATGGTTCAGTCTGCTAAGCACGGAAATAAATTGGGGTTAACAGAAAAACACTGTTTTTCTTTATTGGCATGATATCGGAGTCTAAAATAGATATGGGAATTTAGAAATACATCTAGAAGATCAGATAAGCTAAATAAGGATTTGAAATCTCTAATTAGAGAATAAGCCGACCGATTTACAAACTGATTAGGCATTCGGGGCGCTGATCACAATAATTGAAAATGGCTGCCCAAGAGGAGTTGTTGACATGCGTGTGCGTGGTTCTCAGCGCACATCCCGCGCTATGCGGATTGCCCCATGTAGTGGAGGCTGTGAACTCGTATGTAGACCCGTCACCACGGTGGACCATCATGCGTGCAGCGCGCTACGGCTCGGTGCGTTTGCTGGATCGGTTGGCACTGAACGAGCGTCGAGGAATAATAACTCAAGAGATTAATGTGGACGAGGCCATGGGGAAGGCAGCCAAGCATGGCCACTTGGCGGCTATCCAGTGGCTACACCAGTTCCGGCCTGAGGCGAGAGTGTCAGTCTTCGTACTCATCACTGCGGCGGAGTTCGGACAACTAGATATCGTCCAGTGGCTTCATAACAACCGATCGGAGCGCTGCACGTCCGCGGCAATGGACCGAGCAGCAGCCAACGGGCATTTAAGTGTAGTACAGTGGCTACACTATCATAGAGAGGAAGGCTGCACCTACGACGCCATGACAGGTGCGGCGGAGTTCGGTCACCTGGATGTGGTCATTTGGCTCCATCACCATAGAGAAGAAGGGTGTACAGTCCATGCTATGGATCGAGCTGCTGCTAACGGACACTTGAACGTAGTGCAGTGGCTCCACGAGCACCGAGAGGAGGGCTGCTCGCGTCTGGCGATGGACTTGGCGGCCCGGAACGGACACCTGGAAGTTGTCAAGTGGCTACATGAACACAGGACGGAAGGGTGCACTGCCGCTGCGATGAATGGCGCTGCTTCAAATGGACATTTAGAAGTTGTGAAGTGGCTACATGATCACAGGGTAGAAGGCTGTACGAGCGTTGGAGTGCGTCATGCCGCTGCGAACGGACATTTGGGGGTGCTCGAGTGGCTGTATGAACACTATGGTGCTGTGTTCCAGCTCTCACAGGTCAACATTATGGATGACGCAGCTTCTCGGGGACAAATGAAAGTACTGCAATGGCTGCATGACAATAATGTGGAAAGCTGCACTACTGAAGCGATGGACGGCGCTGCAGCTCGAGGGCATCTAGATGTGGTACAATGGCTTCATGCTAATCGCTCTGAAGGCTGTACTGCAAAGGGGATGGATCTGGCAGCATGTAATGGTCATCTGGAAATTGTACGCTGGTTACACACACACTCAAACGCTGGGTGTACGCCAAATGCAATGGACTTGGCAGCCAAAGGTGGTCATTTGGACGTGGTGATCTTCTTACATGACAACCGATCCGAGGGCTGCACGTCCCGAGCCATGGATCACGCAGCAGAGAACGGTCACCTGGCAGTTGTAAGGTGGTTGCACGAACACCGTGAAGAAGGGTGCACCACAGATGCCATGAACGCTGCTGCTCGTAATGGCAATGTGCGGTTGCTGGAGTTTTTATACTCAAAACGCACCGAGGGCTGTACGCTGCGGGCACTAGATCGAGCAGCTTATACTGGCCAACTGGCCAGTGTAAGATGGCTTTTAAGCCACCTTCCCGACCAATTCGACGAACCAGAGCGTGTTAGAGAAGCAATGGAAGCAGCTAGGCGGGGTCGCGCTGATCATGTCGTCGCGTGGTTGCGAAGGCATGTTGAGACTCAAGGAGAATCTATCAGAGCAGCTTAACTGTGCTGCTGTCATGAATGTGTCTTATACGGTTACTGTACCTCTAAACTAATGCAGGAGATGCTTATTAAAACTCATACGTGAAGGATTTCTTGGCAATAAGCTCAGCGGCTTCCTTCTCCGCGTTGGGATCCAACACCGCGACAAACTCGCTGTTTATTGCCGACGGAGACTGATCCAGAGCTAAATTCTGACCCCGTTTGCCCTTGCGGGATCCCAGTCGCCGCCGACTACCAGCTTTGTTTGTAGCTCCAAACAGTGGTGCTGGTGGCCCTTGCTGTTCTACTGGACTCGGTAAATTCTGCACAAGCTTCGCGGGACTGTTTGGCCTGTTTTGACTCGGTTTCTGTGGAGCCTCCTGCGCTGCTCCTACCACATGAACTGTGTAGCTTTCCTCCTGATTATGTGGTTGCTGCTGAGGTGGTTGTCGCTCCTGAGGCTCGTTATGTTGCTGGATCTGCTGATAATTTTGCTGTCCGTGGTCTTGATGCGGTGCTTTGTCGTGAATGATGAACGAGTTGCCGTTCTCATCATACTCGACGTCCGTCAAGTGCTTCATATCCATAACGAAGCGGCCAACGTCTGCCACGCAAAAGAGAATCGATACACCGAGCGACGGGCCTGTCTTGATGACCATGTCGGGGTCCCAGACGAGAAACGCGAAGGCGTAGAGCCACGTGAGAATCTTGCAGCGCAGCACATTGCGCTCAAAGTGTTCTGGATTCGGGAAGATCGTGCTTGAGATCTTGGGACCATACACAAGCATGGTGGCAAACGCCATGGGTACCCAGGCCAATGTGTAGAGTGTCTGCAGTTCCTGTTCGGCCTGCACACTCTCATCTGGGCACTGGAAGAACGACGCCACTAGCGACGCAGATAAGTAAAACTCCAGTCCGCACACCAGCATAGCCTTGAGCGAGTTCTCGTAGAGCTCTCCCAGACCCTTAAGAGGCTGGTCCACCAGCTCTCGCACCGCCGGTGCCATAGTCGCCACCGTCGCCGCCATCAGAAGCTGAAGTAAGCAACCGGCTACTTACGCTGACTAGTAACGTACTTACACGAGTATCTCCACCACATCAAATACACAATCTGATGACTACTTAATCAAACACTACACCAACATCATATTCACACAACTCTACGTAAATATCCACATCCATCGTCAACCTGCATCAGAAGATTTAGACTCAAGGTGAAGCCATGGAGTTAGGACCACTGCAGCCGATCCTGTTGCTATTAGAGGATGGCGCCGCCATGGACCGCAAGACACTGGACATGACGCTAGCTCAAGCGCTGAGTGGCGAGGAGCTCACAGCAGCCGTTCGTGTGGCGTCCATCGCTCAATTAGACCAAATTCTAGACCACGAGACGCTTTCTGACCTTCCGCTTAGCTTCCTGCTGCTTCTCTCGTCCAAGGCGTCGAAGCTGGAGCATGTGCGTCACCAAGAAGAGATGGACGAAACACGCACGAAGCTACTGCAACAGACAGCACAGCTTCTGCACCAGATTCCCATCGCTGTGGCCGCCAAAGAGCTCAAGAAACTGAGTGTGCTCTGTGACCAGTACGCACGGCTGGCTGTGGACATGCAGCAGAGCATCAAGACCATTTTCCCGCTCAAGAGCTTCTTACAGCGCTTTTATCAGCAAGGAAACGCTGTGTTGATCCCTCTACACGCGCAATTTCTGTATTTGTGTCTGCATTCCAAGTGTTATTTCGCAGCTATGGAGATTCTAGACCAGTACGCAGCCAATTGTAGATGTACAGGAGATCTAGACAGTTCTAACCATATTTATTATGTTATCTTATGGTCAGATCGCTCGTGGAGATCCACTCGCAGTCGCATCTCGTCACGTCCGTCGACTTCTTGGGTTACGCGTACTATGGAGGACTACTGTACCTCGGCGAGAAGAGATATCAAGACGCGATGGACTTCTTTCAACTCGCTATTACAGCGCCCGCTGTCTCGCTCAGTGCCTTTGTGATTGAGGCGTACAAGAAGCTGCTACTGGTGACTCTTATTCTCAAGGGTGAAAGTGTTTTACTGCCCAAGTACACGCCATTCGTAGTCACGCGTCACGTGGAGAACCACTGCACAGCATACGCAGATCTGGCCAACGCTTTTGTCGTGGAAAAAGACTTGGCCGCGGTACAGGAGGTCGTCACGAAGCATGAAGATCTGTTTATCCAGGAAGGAAACTTCGGTCTCGTCAAGCAGGTTGTGCAGGCTTTTAAGCAGCGGAAACTGCTTCAACTGAAGCGCACGTACGCTACAATTGAGCTGACGGAGATCGCCACAGCGGCAGGTATGGCTAGCAGCGATGCCGTGGCTGCAGAGAAGATGCTGTTGACGCTGATCTCGAACGGCCAGATGGACGCCGTCATCGACAAGCAGAAGGCCATGGTGCGTTTCGTGCTGGAGAATGAAGACGGAGGTGCATATCACGATGAAGTGCAGGGCGAGGCGACCAAGAAACTGCAACAAGAGATGGAGAAGCTCGTGCTGGTCGCGTCCCAACTACGTTACATGGACGTGGAGCTCGTAACGAGTGCGAAATTCCAGTCTCGCTTGCAGAAGGACAAGGATCGACGCTCAAGGATCAACATGCACAACCAGCAGAGCGAGGAACGTATGATCGTGGAAGGGGCTAGCGGCATGGACACGATGGAGTAAGCGAACACTGGAGAAAGGTGGTCGATAATTGGTTTGCAACTTGGTTTTTGAGATACAGAACTCTATTGATGTCTAGGTTATTGCATGACGAGTGCTAGCTGGATCTTACGTTGACGTACTAACGACACAGGGTTCTTCATGCGGATCACTCGACATAATGCAGGATTACCGGCGTTGAAGACACGATAGATACTGTACGTGGAGCCGTGGATGGCAGCCTGGTCCAGCTCGTTCATACTGATCTCGAACACCCCCTTCTCCATGGTACGTGTCGATTTGACCTCGATGTACTCCACCACTTTACCTGCAGACGACAGTGTGAGGTCGTACGGGAGACCAGACTCTTCCTTCTCGTTCACCCACTCGACAGTCCTCCTCGACTCACTATCAGCGTGCTGCTGCTTGAGCTGATTGAACACGTACTCCTCACCCCACCGACCAATCGCTTCTCTTTCCTCCTTCGTCATCGTGTTAGACAGTGACATAGACTGCATTCCAGACGACGGAGGCAGTGGGGGGTAATACGGCGCTTGTTCTACGCCTCGGTTAACCGGAACTGGTGGGTATGCTGGCCTCTGCATGTCATAGTTGCCATGACCGTAGTTTGACGGTGGCAATGGCGGGTATGAGAGATCCTGGGGTCCTTGGTAGTTTTGCTGGGGTTGAGTGTATACCTTCTTCGCAGGAGCCTCCTCTGTATCGATCTCGCCATCTTCCATGTCTTCAACAGCGCGTTTGCGACTACAAGTATCAAGTGATGAAGACGTAGAGATATCGACGTTATCCACTTGAATCCACAGCTTGTCGGCTTCAGTTGCAGGTAGCGGGGGTAACAGTTGAGTCTCCACCAGCCATTGTTCTCTCATTACCGCGTTGGGTTGGAGTAAGCTGAGATACAGCAGGTTGGCGACGTTGGAAGCTACTTGTACACCGAAGAGCTTCCGACAAAGCTCCATCAACACCGAGGAGAGCGCACTCGTTTCTTCATCTCCCGTCACAGACTGCAGGTACAATGTACTCTTCGATACATCAAGGAAGCAACGAGACTGTGCGTCAACACCGCGACGAAGACTGAAGGAATTCCCGACTCGATACACCACCTGAAAGCCGTCGTGTCCGTCAACCAGCACACATTGAAACTCATTCGCCAACTTCGCTATCGACTCGTTCTCCAGTTGATCGTACAAGTGCCGGTGGTTGTGGAACAGGAATCGCTGCGCCAACGCGAACGCAGTGTGAATCTTCTCGTGGAGCGCCTCACTCGCAGGATGCTTCGTGCAAAGCACACTGACTTCGTACTGCAAGTTCTCTTTCAGTGACTTCATGCCACAAAACTCCACGAGGAACTTATGCACAAGTGTCGCCTCGTTATCGTCATTCGATACGAAGTAGCTCCAAGGGAACAGTCCAAGCACTTGGAGTTGTTCTTGTCCAGACTGCAGATCATCTTTGGTCAACTCCGTTTGATCGTTGATGTACATGTCGGCACCTGACGTCCACTGGTTTTTATCAAGCGTTGGGAATACTTTCAAGTGCTGTACTCTCCGCTGGAACTCCGATCCATCTTTGTCAGCCAAAGAGAAGGCACTAGCCCAGAATTTGATCAAGAGCTGACTAAACTTCAGTAGCTTTTTCTTGCGTTTCATGTCCAGCAAAGTCTTCGTGAAGCTTGCGAGTACCTTACTCCACGTGGTAGCATGAGTCTCAAGGTGAGAATATACTGTTGAAATCTTGGCAACACTGAGCAGCGCGTCCAGATCATCATCGTCTGCAAGAGATTCAAGCTGGACCACCTTAATGTCCTCGTCCTTGCATTGTTTATCTTCGTCACTAGCTGTTTCTTTAGCGAGAGACAGCAGCAACTTCTGCAGCTTGCGTTCGTTCTCCGTTGTTGCGTGGACTGGTCGATCCTTTGAGCTGCAGAATGCTAGATCAAAACTAGACCCGCTAACGCTCCGTACTGGCAGCCACGACGTTGACTTCAACGTCTTCTTGATCTCCTTCGTCTCCGCCTTTGATAGCGACCGCTTCTTCACCTTCTTGGAGAGTGCACACAGAAACGGAAGCAGCTTCTTTTTCCAAGCTTTAGTACTCTCAACTCCACCTTGCTGTTCAATGATCTTTTCACACAAGAAGGAGACGGAGGGCTTCCGTTGTACACCACAAACGTCCGTGAAGAACTCGCACAGTGTCTTAGGATATAGCGTTTCCAAAACAACCAGCTCTCCATTGTGCGTAGTAGATGACCACACTGCACTCTTCGTGCCAATGAAATGATGATCATCCCCACTCTTGGCTGCAACGAAGATCAGCGTTTGTCTTGTGAACATATTTGTGATTTCGTCCCTGCATTCATCAGATTTTTGGCTTTCTTCCCACAAGAACAAGTACATGCGAACCATTTGATCAGCATTCAGCGAAGACGCACAAGTTGAATCTACTGAGAGACGTGAGATAACTGGAAGCACATCAGCAACTGTCACAACGGATTTCATGCCAAGCACACGTCTGGAGAAGTCCTCGCTCTTCCAGATCATCGAGCTAAACGTAACCATAGCAGGCGTAAACAAGCGCGTGACCGTCTCAGTTGACAACCACAGATCAGTCGAGCGGTGGAACTGCTCATCGGATCCTTCCAACCAACGATATTGTCTCCAACAAGCGACAGCATCGTCCTGATCTTCATTGCTATCGGCACTGCTATCATCAATCACTCTCCAGTTCTTATCCAGGTGTTGTGCTAGACACATCGAAATGTTCCGCCTTACTGTAACATCATCCTCAGCTTCAAGCCACTCGAGTAATTGTTTCATTCCAGCTTGAGAACGTGCATCCGACACAACACTCGCAACATCAAGAAGCATCGGCAACTCGCAAACATCCACGAACAACCGCCGCCACTCTTCATCCACTGGATCCACGCCACTATCAGCGCCGGAAAAGTAATCTCCAGATACAATAGCAAGCGCGTCCTCGTCTTGATCGGACACCTCCAGTTTTGACTTAATCCACTGAACCAACTCGGCCATTTCTCCGTAGGTCGATGACAGAATGACGAACAAATTGCAGCTGTCTATCGCAACAACGCGGTCTCTGCTCGTAGCAAAAACCGTATTGGCCTTCACATCTGCGTGCATCGAGCAGTTTCTGCACGTTGCCAAGTGAGAGGCTAGGAATCGCCCGTACTCAATCACAGCACCAACTTCCGGCTTATCATTAGTCTCAGTGGGCGAGCGAAGTACTGCCATCTTGGGGAGAACATGGTGACGAATCAACTCGTGGTCTTCCATCACGTGAATTCCCACATCGTTCAACAAGAACGCACGCAGCTTTGAGCTCTTGCTAACTGCCTTTGTAACCGTATCGTCCAGAATGTGAAGATCGCTGAAAAACGCGTACGAATAGCCATATCTAGCTGTGTCACCATCCCGGATTCCCGATACAAAGAGCGAGTCGTGACTATCAGCTAATGAAACCCACTTAACACAGCCATCCACGCTGTCCTTTTGCAGTGGGAAGCACTTGATCAATCGTAATTCCTCGCGCAATAAGCTCGAGTGTCGATCTTTGCGCCAAAGTTTCGCGAGGAGTGTCAACACTTTTACTGTCCAATCCATATCGTTCTTTTCAGTCGATAGCGATAGAACTCGCATCAAGTGAGAAGCGTGAAGCTGCTCGATCCTCAACTGGTTTTTCATCGACGTCGACATGCTTTGAGAGAGAGCAGGATGCAGGAAGCGCTTGTTAAACGTCGATACAAGGATGTCTTCACTTAGTACGTCCAACATGGCCGTGCTGTCACTCGTATTGCTTCCAGCGAGTTCACTGCAGTCAATCAGCTCCGCTGGCTTGTACAGTTCACCCGACGAAGACGATAGCCACTTGACTTGACGCAGCTCACGCATAATCTCCGGTATGATACTCCGGAAAGGAGCCTGTACCTCGTTCTCCAACGGTAATAACGATAGCAAGTGTGAGATCGCAGCGATTCTCTCTGCATCTTGGAGAGTTGACACGTAGCTGCTTACAGCAGCATGCATAAGCTTGGGGAACTTGGACACCAGCCACTCGTTCCAGTCACTCCCGTTCGTGATCGCCTCTCGAGAACTTGGGATTTCAAAGTCTCCTTGAAGAATAAAGCGGAAACCATAAGACCGCAGCGGCAAGTAGCAGAAAACCTGTTGCAGTGGAGGTCGGTCTTCTGCGTTGAAATCTTCTATGGGGAACGCAAGCGCGATGTCAGTTGTGTGACTTCGGTTGAACAACTGGGGCGGCTCGAGCGTCTCCTTGACTACCAGCCACTTCTGTTGCTTAATCTCCACGCTGTTCTCGCTCTTCACTTGCGAATACAACTGAACCAGTTGAGAGTTCGCTCGAAGCTTCGTCTCCTTCTTGAGGAAGTGAAGCGTCTGTTGTCGCGCTGAATCACCTAGTCGAAGCTCTCGAATGCGTCGAAGGAAGAGCAGTACAGACGGCTCAAACGCCATGAGAGACTGGGAAATGTCATCAACTCTCTGCACCGACGCATCGTTCAAAGGCAGCACAAACGTCGTGCCTCGACGCTGCCTCCACTGCGTCGTATCATCCAGCCAATACGGCAAGATGTAGCCCATTCCAGTCCCGTGCTTGGAGTTCTTGGCGTGGAAGCAGATATGAAACCCGTTCGAATGCACCTGCGGGTTGTCCGAGACCTTGAAAACACTCTTGAAGCCGATACCCTTCTTGCCGATGCTCGCTTCTGAGTCCACCGCTGCCTTCGTCGACGCTCCCACGTCACAAATCGCTTGGATATTGGCTGGTGAAAAGCCCTGTTCGTTGTTGTAAAAGACGATCTCCTTGTCGTTTGTCAGTGTGAACTCGCCCAGAGGAACCACCGCATCGTCGTAAGTGTTATCGTCAGCGTTCTGCAGTAATTCCAGGACGAAGTGCGTACTCTCACTGTACAGCTCATCACTTAGTCGTTTAAGTGCACGCTCCAGACGTTGCTGCTGGATAAGCAGCACCGACGTCGTAGCTTCGTCCTGGATCTCCAGTCCAACACCAAACTGCTTCTTCCGGAGATCTTCAATGAACGAGCGACAAGAACTCGAGTTAGTGGTCTCTATCAAGGACACATCCTCCATCTCTTGGTCAACGGAGAATCGTGGTACGTCTGACTCGGCAGTATCCAAGACGCTAACAACCTCACTATCTTCAGCGTTGGCAGCAGCACTTGAAAGCGCACACTTGATCTCAGCAGGATCAGCACTACAATCGTCATCTTCGGTGATCGTAGCTGTCAGATTCTCGCGTATAGCACACCAGTTCTCCGTCTGGTCCAACCACAACGGCGATGAGCTCCTGTTAGAGATAAACACAAGCGCTTTCCGTTCAGTGTCACTCGTGCAAGTCTTCCAGATTTGATCAGCAATTACCCGCTCACTCGACCCAATAGCACCAAGTAGCAACGCTACCACGAAGTCTGCGAACTCTACTGGTGTCTCCATGAGAATGTCCAGCACTAAACGCTTGACGTAGTCTTTGTCCTTGGCGAAACTGGACAAATAGGCACGTAGATGAGCTTGAACGAGCTGTTTGGGGAAGTTCGCTTGGCCCTTGCACGTCACCAGCATCGACACCAAGTGGACTGCCACTTGACTGGCAGATACGCGGGTTTTCTCTTGCTGGGCTCGTGTAAGTAGCAGCTCCAGATCGGACGGCGTCGACTTCTCATTGACGCGCAGTATCACTCCGTTCAAACACGATACAAACATAAAGTTGCTGGACGGTGCATGATCAAGTAGAATCATTTCATGCACGCGGATAAACGAGAGCAGAGGCCCACACAACGGGGCATATCGCTCTTGCCAATCCATATACAACGATACATCAACCAAGAACGGACATTTGCGCAGTTTTTCAAGCGCTTGCTCCGTCAAGGCCTTTTGCACTGACTCACCTGTATCTTCAATGCTGCTATCGTCACGATTCAGGTCCAGACTGCCGGCGTACTTGACCACTGAAGCCTCTTCTCCATTGTCCGCTACCTTGAGCATCTCTTCGACACTGGGCAGTCCGCTGTCTTCATAAACACGTCCAAGCTCTACTGCAAGTCGGCGTGCTATCCACTGCTGCTGCTTGTCACTGGAAAGTGAAGACAAACTCGATGACGAAGAGATCGTAGCGCGGCACTGTCGAATAAACGGCAGCACGTCGTCAAGTTTCTCGCTCATACTGTGCGATGATTCAGCGCAATTCGCACTCGTTTCCGAAGACTGAAGAAGGTTTAGTAGCCACTTGCCAGCACTAGCTTCATTGTCATCAGAGTCGTCCAAAAGCTCTGGTAACAGCTCGAGTACGGACCGTCGTCCAGCCCATGAGATAGCATTACTCTTCGCCGTAAACTTGCTGATCAAGTGCTTTTCAAGTGACGACAGAGTCCGCAGCACATCCTTCGCAGTCTGTGGCTGACTGTCACTAGACTGCGTCTGTAAAAAGTTCTCGACTTCCTTCTTCACGTCTTCTAGCGTCACGTCCACTTCTTTGTTGAGTTTTGCGAACCTGGTGGCGAATGGATCACTCGGCATGACAGGGAACTCGTCCGGCGTCTTGGTCTCCTCATCTGGTTCAGCTTTATCCATTTCTTCGTCTTCTTCATCACTCTCAACGTGACACTTGCAAGTGCACGAACAAGTGCACGAGTCCTTGCCCACGCAGCAGCAATCGCACTCTTCCTTGTCGCTTTCAGCCTTTTCCTTCTCTACATCAACGTCCTCATCAGGTAGCTTGTCATCACTCAGTAGCAACGCGTACGTCTTGGCCATAATACTACAGATCACCCACGTCACGACTTTCAGTCTCGAGTGGTGTTTGCTCTTCTGCGACGACATTAAAAACCGCGTCAACTGGTTCCGCAGCTTGGAATCCGTCTCTGCAATCTCTTGAGAAGAAATCGGTTTACGGAATTT